TTTACCTATAGAACAGGTGTGTACTCACCTCAACTCATATTACCTTTATACATTATACTTCTTACCTGGAGAACAGGTGTGTACTCACCTCAACTCATATTACCTTTATACATTATACTTCTTACCTGGAGAACAGGTGTGTACTCACCTCAACTCATATTACCTTTATACATTATACTTCTTACCTGGAGAACAGGTGTGTACTCACCTCAACTCATATTACCTTTATACATTATACTTCTTACCTGGAGAACAGGTGTGTACTCACCTCAACTCATATTACCTTTATACATTATACTTCTTACCTGGAGAACAGGTGTGTACTCACCTCAACTCATATTACCTTTATACATTATACTTCTTACCTGGAGAACAGGTGTGTACTCACCTCAACTCATATTACCTTTATACATTATACTTCTTACCTGGAGAACAGGTGTGTACTCACCTCAACTCATATTACCTTTATACATTATACTTCTTACCTGGAGAACAGGTGTGTACTCACCTCAACTCATATTACCTTTATACATTATACTTCTTACCTGGAGAACAGGTGTGTACTCACCTCAACTCATATTACCTTTATACATTATACTTCTTACCTGGAGAACAGGTGTGTACTCACCTCAACTCATATTACCTTTATACATTATACTTCTTACCTGGAGAACAGGTGTGTACTCACCTCAACTCATATTACCTTTATATATTATACTTCTTACCTGGAGAACAGGTGTGTACTCACCTCAACTAATATTACCTTTATACATTATACTTCTTACCTAGAGAACAGGTGTATACTCACCTCAACTCATTTTACCTTTATACATTATACTTCTTACCTGGAGAACAGGTGTGTACTCACCTCAACTCATATTACCTTTATACATTATACTTCTTACCTAGAGAACAGGTGTGTACTCACCTCAACTTATATTACCTTTATACATTATACATCTTACCTGGAGAACAGGTGTGTACTCACCTCAACTTATATTACCTTTATACATTATACTGATTTACTCTCCTCTACTTTTATTTAGTAATTTTAGTTTAAGATAAAAGTGTAAAATTAATGAGGAAAAAGTTACTATTAGTGAAATTTGGTATAAGAACAACTTATAAAAGTAACAAATAGAACAGCCAAGTGAGGGTCGATGGTATTTAATGGTACAGTTATGAAATCATAATAATGATAGCAATCACATCAACACATGCACCATGTCAGTTATAGCTGATATGGGTCTTTTGAGTTTAGTAGAGATATACAGACAATGCCATGTAGTGGTAACTGTACAAACATGATTACAGATACAGAGCTGTGTCGTTGGAATTGTTGATGACGCTGACTACGAGCCCACAGAGACCTTCCGCCTACACCTGGCCAAGGCCGAGGGTACAGAGTTGTGTGAGGCACGTGTAGGAGACATAGACAGGACAGTGGTCACTCTCACAAACCAGGAAGATGGTAGGTGGTCACCTAGGCACAAATGGAAGGGTACAGGGATTAAATCAAAGTGTGACATAGACATTAGTTCTCACTTCAGACTTGATCAATGCCAAATATATCATATAAAATAGTATCTTATGGCTTTCTTTATATTTGCATTTAAATGAGCATATTTATGTGGCAGGGAACTTAGGCCATAGGCTCTTAAAATCTATTTTTGATTTATACTTTTCTAAAGTTCTGCTGATTTCTCTCAGATAAGTGTTATAAATTGACTATTGTCCTTACGTGATTGGATACCTACATCAATAACAGGGATATCTCTCAACATCAACTTATATAACAGAGATAGGTTATGTATTCTATTTTGAATCACTTTTTGGTTGACAGTGCCAACCTTAGGATTTGATCAGCCTGCCTATAGTGTCCATGAGCCGGGAGTCCAGGAGAAAACTGGGACTTTGGTGATCAGAATCAGTCGGACAGGTGACCTGTCACGTGCGTCCAGTGTGCGCTGTAGTACCAGGGATGGGTCAGCACTGTCAGGCGTAGACTATAACCCCAGGAGTCAGGTTGTCACGTTTGAACCAAGTGAGTATTCAAATCATTCTACCAGTATTGATAGTTCAATATTAATGTAATTCTGGTCGACCAGGAAATTTTGCTCGTTAAAAATCAGAAGTATACACAAGCAGAAAAATAACTGATTTAAGGGTGTAGTTCTTCAGTAGGTATGTTTTGTAAATATTCACGGGTTCATAGTAAACAGACAATGTAATGGTGTACACTTTAGATATAGTAAACAGACAATGTAATGGTGTACACTTAAGATATATAAACAGACAATGTAATGGTGTACACTTAAGATTTAAGATATATAAACAGAAAATGCAATGGTGTACACTTTAGATATCGTAAACAGACAATGTAATGGTGTACACTTACGATATAGTAAACAGACAATGTAATGGTGTACACTTTAGATATAGTAAACAGACAATGTAATGGTGTAAACTTTAGATATAGTAAACAGACAATGTAATGGTGTACACTTTAGATATAGTAAACAGACAATGTAATGGTGTACACTTAATATATAGTAAACAGCCAATGCAATGGTGTACACTTTAGATATCGTAAACAGACAATGTAATGGTGTACACTTAAGATATAGTAAACAGACAATGTAATGGTGCACACTTTAGATATAGTAAACAGACCATGTAATGGTGTATACTTTAGATATAGTAAACAGACAATATAATGGTGTACACTTAAGATATAGTAAACAGACAATGTAATGGTGTACACTTTAGATATAGTAAACAGACAATGTAATGGTGTACNGATATAGTAAACAGACAATGTAATGGTGTACACTTTAGATATAGTAAACAGACAATGTAATGGTGTACACTTACGATATAGTAAACAGACAATGTAATGGTGTACATTTTAGATATCGTAAACAGACAATGTAATGGTGTACACTTACGATATAGTAAACAGACAATGTAATGGTGTACACTTTAGAAATAGTAAACAGACAATGTAATGGTGTACACTTTAGATATAGTAAA